TTCTGCTTCTCTGGAGAACCCTGAATAATACAAGTCCTTTATTACATGTGATTTGTGAATATGTTTTCCCATTCCATATTTCCTAAGATGTGAAAAAAATCAGTATTAGAGTTTTTTCTTTACTTTTTAATCTCTACATCCTGCCAATTCTCACACACACACACACACACACACACACACACACACCACCCATGTCATTCCCCTTCAAAAGGAGCTATTTGCCTCACAGAAGGGAAGGCCCAGAAGACACCAGCAAGAACTAAACAATTAAATCTCTAAATTCAGATCCTTTATGCCAAAGCAATTGAGAAAGAACAGGTCTTTGAATTCCCTCCAGCTTGGCTTCAAATGGCAAGAGCCAGACCTAAAGGAAGGGAAGGAAAAGTTTAATTCTACAACACATTTCAGAAGAATTAATAATGTTCCTGTCTGCTCCATCAGTTTCTGTACTGAAGACTCTAGGACTGTTTATAGTGGTAAAAAGAGAGCTTTTTACCAGGGAAAGAGGACTTTCCCTGCATTACTCAACTAGAGAGAGGCACAAGGATCTGAGAAGATGCCGCCATGAACACGTATTGCCAAGCAACAATGATACACCTCATCATACCTTGCAGCAAGAAGTGAGGGCCGGGAGGACCCTGTTACATTAACCTCCTTCTCCAGCCATGTTCCCTGGACTATATAATCGGCTATTTGCTCTCTACCATATTATCAAGTAATGGTGAACTGAAAACATTTCATCCTTGCCTTTTTTTTCTACTTTTACTTTGTCTTTTCAGGAAGTCCAAAGCATATTTTTTGTCTAAGACCTTGTCAGGGCCATGATAGTCCAAGTATCCAATACAAATAATATTAATAATAGTAATAAAATAAAAAAATTTAAAAATACCCACACAAATAAATGTATCATCTAAGGAAACAAACCAAAATAACCCATTATTTAGGTTCAGATGTGCACAAGATCCAACCATATGAAACCGCAGACCCCAAAGTAAAGAGCTTTAAAAGTGTAGCAAAGAGGTTTTTTTTAATTCTAAGACAACCAAATCCAATTTTTTAATGAGTGCATTGGACATGAAACAGATTTCAATAAAAGCAAAGGAGTGGTTTTGATGTGCTTTATTTTCCATTTAAAAATCAAGAGATTTAAATATAGTACCCATGCCCCACTTCTATTCGCATAAAGGGAAATTATGCTATGCCAAGTGGTAAAAAGTGAAATTGTTGGCTTGATTTGCTCTTCAATCTGGCATTTTCCATGAAGTACAGTTTTCCTTGAGTTATCTAAACTTTTTCACCCTCATTGGTGAAAGCATATTCCTACCCTAAGTAACTTCAAGCACTCTTTGTGATATGGCTTTGAATCAGGTTAATCATTGATCATGTTTTCTATAAGGAAATGTTTTTATTTGTAAATTTCTTTAAAGGTGTCACTGCAGTCCTGATAGCTGAGTGAACATTAGGCACTGGGCTTATTCTCCATTGTGCTTGGAGAGGTAAGCACTGAAGGGAACTGTTTCTCAGTTGAAGATGAGCGAGGAATGGTCCCATCCATTTGAAAAATGTCATTCATCAAGAAGACTAATCATGTGTAAATAAAAGAGAAGGAAAGTGTGTTATGTTGTTAGAGTAATAAAGAAGAGATCACATCCTATCTTATAATTTTGCAGTTCTTTTCATTTACACACAGGTGTTTCTTAGATTCTCAGAACAGATTCTAACACTTGACTAATACAAATATATATTTTTTTGCTATAATATATGGGCTAGAATAGAGGTCAATGAAATCAGTTTATAAAGTCAGAGCTTGGTATTCCCCACATGCTCCTAAAAATCCTCTTCTAATTTATTTTACAAACAACAAAATGGCTTATCTAGCAAACCATGTATTTGGAGTACCTAAAACAATCCGGTATGTACTAAGGCTCAGTTTGGGTCATGTATGGGATGACAAAAGTGCATTATGGTGATAATGAACGTGGATAATTAGAAAGTCGCATAAATTATTTCAACCTGTCTTGCAAAATACAACTTAGGAAAATGCTGGGATTATTTTGTTTTATCCAGACAGGCCTTTTGCCAAGAACCTATGCCTACACACAACTCCTCAAAGGGCCTAGAGAGAATGTTTGTAGGTCTCTTTAAAAAGGCAAGAGAGTCAAAACGCAGAGGAAATTTTTCTATTATGTGATATAAAAGGAAAGAAGAAAGGGGCACTAAGTTGCTATACTTGGAGCAAGGGTATTAGTTTCTGATTTAGAAGCTCACAGGCAAGAGCAAACAAGTGGGTACGTCTGTGCTAGAAATCACAAAGGGGATGGCGGCACCAGAAATGACTCACACAGGGCTTCTCTTTCACCTGCAGAAGAGGATGCCCCAACTATCCCACGGTGTCCTCAAGGACCTCCTGAGCGACGCCATCAGTAACACTGTTCTCATTCTTCTACCAGTGACACTTGATAGCTCTCTCTCCATCCCTAACTCCCCTGGCCCAAGTCTGCAACATTCCTTCTGTGCGTTAAGGACAGGAAAGCTTCCCCCACTTTAGGACCCATGTCTGCCCTCCCCTCTGCCCGGCAAGCATGGTATCTCGTATCTACACTTAGACATCAGCGTGAACATCACCTCCTCATAGAGGTCCCCCATTGGTGACCTGGTCCAGAGTGGCTTCATCCCTCAAGGCTATTTTCCCTCCTTACTGCTCATCTGTAACCTCTGCTGGCACTTCTGCTAAGGGAGAACAGCCCTGAGTCCCCCGACTGGAACAGGAATTGAAACAATTCCTGGCACGTGGCAGGGCTCCATAAATATTTGTCCAACAAACAAGGCTGTAACTTCTTTGTTGAAAGCTATAATAATATTGCTTTCCTTTCAAGATAATCTGGGCTTCTTTCATCTTGAGGATATTTGCAGCAAAAAGACAGCTCACTTATTATGCAAGCACATTTCCCTTTAATGTTATGTGACACTGGTATTGCTTTTGTTCTTCCAAATTTGCTGCACTCCATCTGATACATCATTTAATCTAACTTCTCACTGCACTTGTTGATTCAACTTGAGTCGAAGACTTTTCACGCATTGGGTAGTCTATTTATAGGTCTACCTCGCATTTTGTCTGTTGACTTCATTTCCATGCCCTCAAGACAAATATGTGGGCACTTCATCACACATTTGCCTTCCAAGGTAGTGAGGGTGTGGGCTGTGCTAAGGCTCACGCCATCCATCCCAAGGTAAATTAAGGCATCTTTTGATTAGGAAAATCTGACATAACATACAAACCCATTTCTCTGGTCAGAATTATTATAGAGCCAAAGCTCTTGTTTTGCAGAAAATACAGATCCTTCCACAGATGTGAAAAAGAAAGAACATGATTGAAAGATTTTTTTTTTCTTTTTGGTAGGGCTTGATTGGGTCTAGTAAATGTATACTTTTAGTTTCCTTGGTTTTAAAAGAAAAGGGTCATCAGATCTTCAGTGTATTCAGCGAGGAAAGCAAAACCAAAAGAACTGGGAAAAACAATCTTACACCCCAAGAGGTTGCAGGTACAGAGGTCGGGGCATTCAGAGAGAAATCCAGCCAGTATTTTCTCTTGTGAATTCTTTATACCCAAACCTAGGACTCAAATGTGCTTTACTATGCGTTCACATAGTTGACAAGGGAGACCAATGAATCATAGGAAAGCCCTCTTCCACAGGCATGAAATGAAGAATGTGTATATAGGCACTTCTCGGGTTCTAGCGATCACTGAATGACCAGGAGGGTGAGGAGCCAGAGAGAAAAACATTTCACTCCCGTTAACGCACCCCTCCAACAATTCTTCAGCCTCCAGAGACTCAAACCCCCTGATGCACCATCTGTCCTTGGCTCCACTCCTCCCCAAGTGCCTCCCGCTCCTCGCTCCGCTGATCTCCCATGGTCAGCCTCCACCATCCTGCCTGCACCTGCTGCACAGCTCCCCATTCTCTCCCTCCACCACTCCTGGTTTCCTGGCCAAACACCCATCCATGTGTCTACGGGGAATAGGGACCCCAACTTCCAGAAGGGATGATGAGCAAATGCTAATGGCCTCATCACACTGTCCCACCTCCCCCGGGAAGAACCCCACCATATTCTTCTCCACTACCTCAGCGCCACACTGAAAACTCTTACCACCTTTTGCTCTAGCAGAGTCCAGCTTGAGCTCTGTCCCCGAGTCTTAAATGAACTCGTCCTTGCCTATTTAATTTAGGCTTGGCTGGTTAACATCCAGTGGCATAGCAACATACCTGGCCATCACACTGTTCTAGTTCAAACACACCTCCGTTTTCTCCTGCCTTCTCCTCTGCCCTTGAACCTCTCATACCTCTGCCCTCTCCTCATTTTCAGAATGGCCTTGCATTCTGGATCGCAGAGGAAACAGGATACCACAGCAACTTTCCTCCAACTCCTACTACACCCCCCTCACCCCACTGAACCGCACTGCACCCCTGTACCCTTCCTTCCTGGTCTCTGGAGGCACCAGAGACCATATCCTTTTGATTTCACCCAAGACTCTGCCTGGACTCTGCAGGTTCAGAGAATAAGTAACAGTGACCTTTCTACATGCAGGAATACAACCAAGATGTATCCAATACACTCAGAAGCTACTACAACAGTATCTAACCACTAAGCCTTGATGTAAATTGGCTCATCCAAAGCTTTAGCATTCTGGGTAATTAATGCAATCCTGGTTTACACCGACTGTAGTCAAAGAAATACTCTAGCTCCTATTCTTGGAATTCAAAGTCACATTCTATTTGCCACAAGGAGGTTTCCCTCCCTCTGTTGCTCAGTTGAGTTGCACATTTCTAACTGTGGATAAATGACAGATGTGCTGAGCTGCTTTTTATTTGAAGCCAAGTAGAGAGCTCATCCTGGAGCATAAAAATATTTACAAGGTTTCTGTAGTACATGACTCGTCATCACACTGCTGTGCTGGGCTATGTCCCATCTCCAAAAGTTCAAGGACAAAAACCAATTACCTCTTCAAGGACATCGGCAAGCTTACTGAGGATTTCTTCAGGAAGGCTCTGGAATGTTGGGACACTGAAAAACAAAAGAGATGATGCTGAAGCAACTTTCTTTCACAAACAAGGCAGCAACGTGCAAATGCATTTCAGGACAAATAACCTGCAGATAAAGATCAAAGCAGGAACTTAAGCATGACTTGATGACCAACAAGGAAAACGAATGTTGTACTAGAAAGAACTTGGAGTCTGAACAGAACTGAGCTCAAATCCCACTGATAATTACCTGTGGGACCATGGATGCCTCAGTGATAATGGGGAGAAAACCACTTTTTTCCTTATCAGTCTGTGTCACCAGATCTACCACTGTTCCTTCTGCCTCTCTGGGTCCCTCTAGACACTCACACACAAGCACACGCACTCAAGCACACAGGCAAAAAGTTCTTCTACAGGCCAACTCCTGCTCATGCTTTAGGACACAGCTCCATCAATGATATGCTCAGACCTTCAAGCATTCATCCAACAACCTTGGAAGCTTCCTCTCTCCCCAACCCCCTCCAGCTAGGTCAGGTTCTCCCACCATGAGCTCCTGTATCCCTTGCTAATACAATCATTAGAGACTTAATCAGGTATTTGTTCCTGGGTGTTCTCCCTGCTAGGATTTAAACTCCACAAAAAGAAGAAAGATTTATTGGTCTTGTTCAACCCCTGCGTTTTCCATTATTTACAAATAACTCAATAGAGGATGTTGAGTAAAGTTATGAAAACATAGATGTGTGAATGCTTCCTGTGACAATTAGAAAGATCAGATCAGACAGGGTGGAGAAAAAAACCAGACTCGGTAGACAGGAAAATTATTAATTCTTCTTTCCTCCTCTTATTTCCCCCCGCCCCCCACTGACCAGCAAATGAAAATATTGAGTGATGTTAAATGCATAAACCCATGAGTTATTTTATATTTGAAATAGTAATAAACTTAAAAGAAGTTAAAAAAAAAAACACCTCATCAACACATAATTTGTGAGCACCACTGGAAAATCTAACTGGGATATAGAACTAAATTCCCATTTAATCCCATCTCAGTGCTTGAATAGAGAGAGGATACTAAATGAACACATATACGTTTACATATCTGATTTTTGACTTAGCAAATTACTCCACCTTGATTAGAACGAACCAATGCAAGAAGCCACAGCATACTATTTGGATGTAAGCATGGAAGTTTTACTGTTAATTTGTCACTCTGATTCCTATTACTTAGTATAAAGCCTATTGATAAAATCCCAGGGTTTTACGAAGAGGTAGAACAATTCACCCAGGACCATCTGTTCCACCAGATTTACTGCTGCAGTCTTGGCCACGTGGGTTTTAATTTCCAGAAGGCAGTCTATTTCAGCAGCTGGACGGAACTTATCTCAGAAAGAGAGGAAGACAGAGGAAGCTGTTGCCCGAAGTGATGCAGGTTGAAAAATCTAGCCCTTCCTTGTTCTTTTAATGAGCTGTATCTCCGAGTCTCCTAAGATCTAAGAACAATTAGAATGCCCCCCTCCCAGTGGGTATTTGCAGGAAACACAAACTATAACTGAGTTTTTCTCCTTTCATTGTAATTAGCCCCCTTCTTTAGACAGGGGCTCCACTATTTATTTCAACAATGGCTATGTCTATGCCAAGCCATAATGTCAATACTTCAATGTTCTTGAGAGTCTTATCCGTGAAAAAAATAAATATTTGCTTGACTATGTAATACACTAAATGGAAATGGAAACATTAAGTTTTAGGAGGGCACTTTAAATTACCTTCCACAAGTTCATTTTTTCCCCTAGTTTTGAGGCATAACAAAATTAGAAGATACTAAAAGTGTACATCATCATGATAGGATACACATTGTAAAGGGCGCTTCCCATCTAGTTCATTAACACAATGGTCACCTCACAAATTTTGGGGGGTTTTTTGGTGGAAAACATTCCAGTTGTCCTCCTTTAGCATAATTCACAGTGGGATCGATCATCCTCACGGAATTACACATGAGATACAGACTTTATTCATCCTAAACCACAGCTGAAAATTTGTATTCTTTTACTAGCCTTTTCCTGTAACCTCGACCCTCCAGCGCCCTGCAACCACTTTTCTACTGGATCTTTCTCTGAGCTTGACTTTTTTCTTTTTTTTAAAGATTTGACAGAGAGAGATCACAGGTAGGCCGAGAGGCAGGCAGAGAGAGAGAGAAAGGAGGAAGCAGGATCCCTGCCGAGCAGAGAGCCTGATGCAAGACTCGATCCCAGAACCCTGAGATCATGACCTGAGCTGAAGGCAGAGGCTTTAACCCACTGAGCCACCCAGGCGCCCCTGAGCTTCACTTTTATTTAGGTACCACATTTACATGATACAATGTATCTGTCTTTCTCAGTCTGGCCTGCTAGACTTAGCATAATGCCTTCAAGGTCCATCCCCTCTGCAAATACAAACTGTAAGATTTCCTTCTTTCTCATGCTTGAATAATGTTCCATTGTATACTTATCATGATCTCCTACTTAAATGTCTCACAGCCTTCAGCAGCACTTGTTAGTAACAAAAATTCAGGGTGATTTTTAAGAAGAAACACTGTAAAAAACTATCCATAACAACTGGAGAACTTTTAAACAAAATAGAAAGCAAATAAAAAAATAAATAGCTCCACTTTAGTAAACTGCACTGAAAACACTTCTGTAGCCATCTTTAAAATCTTAAGATATTTATTACTGCAAACACTCCATAAGGTCTCTCATATAATTTGCTCTCTAAGAATTATTGGTTATCAGTAGCTTGAACACCAAGAACTGAGAATACTCATAATTTGGAATTCTACCCATGAAATGTGGTTAAATTTCTCCCAAATATGTCAAAAGATTCCACTGATTTGGACATATAATTCAAGATGAAGTTGTTTATGGTTTAGAAAATTTAAGGCAAAATAATTATCAGGACAAACTTTGAGAACATGTTTCAACAGTAGAGGAGTATTTAAATTATGTAAAAATAATTATAATTATTTGCATGCTAATTACAAGTAATTCTTACATATCTATTAAAACATTTTGCTCCCTAAGGACTTTCAACAGGCCTGAAGTTATAGAACACATTTGAATGTAATGTAATAGACATGATTTAATATGTGTAAAGCTTCACCATTGGCTTTTTAAATTTTGTTTAAGATTCATTTTTAGAGAGAGAGAGGGAGGGAGGGGAGGAGGGAGCAGAACGGGCAGAGAGAGAGGAAAAAATCTTAAGCAGACTCCCCAGTCAGTGTGGAGCCTGATACATGGCTCAGTCTCACAACCCCAAGATCATCACCTGAGCCAATTCTGAGAGTCCTATACTTAACAGACAGCATGACCCAGGTGCCTCACCACTGGCTTTTCTAACAGATTGAAGTAAGTACTTGGTATTTGCAATGACAATAATTGAAAATGAGATGAGTGCCATTTGCCAGGCACTGGGCTAGGGATATTATAGAGAACATGAAGGTTCATTTCACAACCACCTTCTGAAATAATCCATTTCACAAATTTCACAAATACAACCTTAAGAATTTCCCTGAGATCACAGCACTCGATGTAGGTGAGGAATGAAAAGGACACGGAGCTCGTCACTTACCCCCTGAGCTACACAGCTTACAGTAAAAGTATTAGCAAATGCCTCATGCAACATTCAAACCAGTTCCATATACTTTTATACAATGATTCGGATATGAATAGTATTAAGAATATGAGATTTATTAACAAGTAAATTTTATTTTTTAAATTTTTGATTTTTTTATTTTTACTATGAAAACAGTTGAACAAATTGAAAGGCTGAAAGAATAGCTCAAGAATCACCTGTATCCCTACTATCCAGATTTGCAACTGTTACCATCTTTGTTTCTTCTACCCTCGGTTTGTCTTTTCCTATGTGTATAGTGATAAAAAGGCTTTATAGATATTTTGACGAAATATTTGATAGTTGCAGATACCACCTTACCCCTAATCTTCAGTTATTAAAAATAAGAACACGTTCCTAAATAACTATAATACATTATAATGCAATCAGAAAATCAACTTCGATTCTGGATACCATCTAGTCTCTGTTTCATATTCAAATATTATTGTTCAAAAATGTCTTTCCTGGTTTTTCTTCTCAAACCAGGATCCAGTAAGATTCTACACATTGGTTATGGCTGTTACATTCTTCTAGTCTCTTATATTAAAAGATCCTTCCACCCTGCCTTCACATGGCACTGACTTTTGGAAGACACTGGGACCACGGTCTCATTGGATGTCCTGCATTCTGAATTTGCCTTAATGACTTTATTTTTGCTAATCTACTCCTTGAAAGTTACAACAGAGGGGAAAGGAAATCCAAGTACAAAAAATTGTATCTCAGTCATTTGTTGATGATATATACATAGATAGAAGATAGATAGAAGATAGATCGATAGAGAGCATATATATTGCATATGCAATATATACAAAATAACATAATCGTATATAGAAGCAGTTCTTGGAAGGTGATCTGAGAGGCTAGGCCGAGACCTTTTTAAGGGGTTCCTCAAAGTCAAAGCAAATAGCTTAAGTTGTAATTTTCACCTTAGTTTTCACATATGTACCACAGAATCCCCCAGAGACTCCATGACATGTGGTAATGACGACATCACTTTGATATATACGTGTGGATTTCATATATACATACACTTATAATAAATATATAATATAAATATATAATATATAACACATATTATATATTATATATACTTATGCTTGTAAGCTCTTGTGTTTCCTAGAATTTTTTTTAAGGTAGTGTGTAGGTTTAGGATATGTGTGCTATTTGCAGAAATTAACTCAGTATAGTTTCAGTAATTCTGTGCTCTTACTAGACATTTTTCACACATGTAACTTTATTATCATCCAGCATATCAGTGTTTTGAACTCCTGAGTAACTATGGTTCTTCAGGCTTGATACATGCTTCTTGTGTCAAGGTGAAAAAGAAAAAAAAAAAAAGAAGAAGAAGAAGAAGAAAACACATGTGGATAACTTGTGTTGCAGTAATTGTTTTATATTTTTTCT